TGGAACCTTTTTCTATCCATTCGTTTGCCTCCCGCCCCCATTTCCCTATTTTCCCTTCTGTTGTTCTCCTCTCGTCGGGTGCACACAAACCTGTTGACCAGGGTAGCCGCCTGGTCTTCGAGCTAAGTGGTCCCCTGCCCCACCCCTCCCCACTCCCCGGGATCAGTCTTGAGTGATCGGAGTATAATCCGCGCAACTGCTTGCTTACTGCTGCCCCTGCCTGTGCGAGATTGTGCGTGTTTGTGTGTGTGTGTGTGTGTGTGTGTGTGTGTGTGTGTGTGTGTGTGTGGTGTGTGTGTGTGTGTGTGTGTGTGTGTGTGTGTGTAGTTGTGACGCTGTGTAGTTGGCACGCTGTGAGGCACCGTCCATCATGGAGCGGGTAGGTTGTTGCGAGAGTCACAAACAAGTGAAGTCCTTATGAATAATTAGCCTATCGGCTGTATTTTGACCGTTGCTGTGTGATATTGTTCTGTTTGAGAGTCCTAATCAGGCGCTGATGTTTGTATTTGGAACGCGTTTCATTCGTGTTTAGATCTCGTACTGTACTTCCATCTAATTATCATTATCGTAATTGTGTGTTGATGTATGATAATGCACATCGCCCGCACTCTGCTTCAGGTTGTTTTGTTTTTGTTTTATTTTGTTTTTTGTCATCTGCTTTTGACGTTCATTAAGGTCCATTTGTTGCTTCGTTCAGTTGTTGCTTTTTTTTTCTTTGAGAGTATCAGACTGTCTCGTTGTTTGGACCTTGGCCTCAATGCAGCAAAATATGCTGGCATACGAGTGACCTTCAGTGTCTTGCGTTTAATTAATTTATTCCGTTTGTCCATTTGAAGGTGGCTATGGTGTTCAGAATGATATCAGTGGGTGGGTGGTGGGTGCTCCGGTGTGGTTTGCTCCTTCTTTCCTATCAAACACCTGTCGTCCTGATCTCTCCTCCTTCTTTTTTAAAATAAGTGTTACTCTCTTGAAACACATAATCTTCGGCACTTATATGACCATATAGTGTTGCAAGTGCCGTGAAACTCTTACTAAAACTAAATCTTTGCCTTGTTGGTGTGCAGGCTGTCACCTGCTATCTGCGTGGTATTTACATAATGTGCTAGTGACGGGCAATAAACGCACCATTTTCGTTAAGGTGCAGAGAGCGTTTGTTTGCTTTGGTTTGGCTATTGTTTTTATTAGATAGGGGGTGGGTCGTGGGGGTGGGGGAGGCTCTAGGTTGTCCAA